AAGATATTCATCCTTGTAACACCAGACAGCCAAACAAAATTTATATTCCTTTTGCCAAATATAAAATTTCACCTCGATTAGATCATCCGTATATTGAGGTTGCAAGTCTTTGATAGCTTTCCTGGTGAAATAAAATGTAACTCTTTAACAACTTTTAAAATAAGGTAGCATCTAATGCATAAATCTTTATATAGTGTAAACGTTTTTTTAACATATCTTTTGATCAGTTAATTCGTTTTAAGATGATTTCCCATCCATTATTTTTGTGAGTGTAAAGTTTTAAAATAAAATACACCAATAATTACGCATCCATTGCATTAAAAGTTTCGCTCAGTCACTTGAGTATACTTCAGTCAAGCAGTATTAATTAGTAACCATAGTAGATTGTCTTATTAATCAATACTGATATACATCTTCGCTCAAAGTTTCCCCTAAAGTGAGGAAAAATTCTTCACAAGGCAAAAAAAATACACAAGCGTATAATTGGTTGCATACTCCAGTACCGTGCTTTCAGTAATTTCTAGGTTATCAATGAGACGTGCACTTGGACAAAACCTTTTATTGATACTATAACCAAAGATAGTTTGTCCTTTGAAAAGATTTGTGGGGAAGGCAATAAATTGTCGTTATTTACACCGTCGCTTGGCAACATTGCAAAGCTTGAACTTCTGTGCAGCGGCAAACATGTCGCTGCCTTTGTCGCCATCATCGTGGAAAATAATAAAAATGCTCTTTATGACCTATTGATGGTCCGCATTACCATTCGGTTCATATTTACGCACGCCTGTCTCTGCTTTACTTACTGCAAAATTATTATAGCAATATGTCAACAGAATGTAGTAATTGTTTTATCAGCTAGAAATGTTAATAGAAAGTGTTAGGGTATTTAGAAGATTTCAACATATATTATTTTACATACATCGAATGTTCACGTCATTCTTAACACGTAGTTCAGATTATCGCCTAAACAGTTTTACAAAATCACGTTATGTATAAATCATGTCCGAAAATGAGATTGTTATCGGTTTACACAACACTGCAAATTAATGCAGTAGGAGTCCCTTAATTTGCCTCCGTATTACGTGCGAATTATAAATGAAAATTAAACTACAAAATGGTGGCACACGCAGTGCCTACATTAGTGAACAGATTAAACATTTATTCTAATCACCATTGTTTCCGTACAGTATATTTTTGTTTTTATTGGAGGACGTAGCAGTTTTGGCGAAACGTTATTTGGGATATGCGTGCGATTTGAACTACCCTTTTCTACAGGACGATTCATTAATAACTTACGTACGATTTGAAGGGGCAACCCTATACACGGTGATTCATTAATAATTACTAAGTGCCAAGTACACTTCTTTTTGAAGATATTATTAACGTCTTGTCACTTCTGGCTCAACCGAAAGTTGCTGTCAACTTGCTTATTTCAAATAGAACACTCCCTATGTTATTACATTTTGAGATTCTGTCTAAAATTTTGAAAATATTTTGTTATAATATTCTATATCTATGTCTAACGGTTTTTGATATATTTGAAGTTAAAAAAAAATTAAACCTTCTGCTTCTGAAAATTTGATATGATTTGTAAAAAACGGGTTTAGCGACTTTGAAAATGTGAATCTTTGCAGTCCAATTTTCAACGCACAGCATTAAAATAGACAACAAAAATGGCAAAAATTTAACTTATAACTCTTTTTTAACATTTTTTTAAATGTGAAGGTCAAGTTTTCAAAAAATACAAAAATATGTAGTTGCAGCAAGGCCAAATATTTCCAAAAAAGATTAGACATAGGTATAGGACCTTATAATATACTCCTAAGCTTAATGTTTGACCCACATAATTTAAATAAAATGTGACTTCTTTTTTGATATACAGGATGTTTTATTAAAAAAAAAATAAAATTCGTTTTAGCCCAGTACTTTAAAGCTTTTTTTTCGTGATAAAATAATGAGTTTTCTGGAACATTATTGAAGTTGAACGTGATGATTGTGAATGAACCGCTCTGTATTTAAAATTAATAATGCTAAAACTCAGAAAGTCTTTAGGCAGATGTCATGTTAGTGTTAGGGTGTCCCAAAATACAAGCAAGAAATAGTTTTCTGGTCATGTAACCTTTCTTAGTAGTAAAAGTGATTTAAAAGGTATTTGAAATACCATTTAGCTATTTGACAATGCAGGGTCCATGAATACCGCATCACACAGCTATGACTGTTTCGTACAGAATGGACTGGTTTTCGCAGCATGCCCCTAGGTACTCGGTTGGGTTTTAAACGCCCCAAAGTGTTATCGGTTGAAAACCAGGTTTGCAATGACCTGAAATTAGGGCTACACTTTACTATGATTATGATTTACGAACGCAATAGTTTCATGTAGACAAGTTTACTCTTTGATACATAGGGGCGCTCAAAATGCGCGATTATACCGGCGGACACAAAATATTGAATTTTTTTTCAAACGGACATTCTATATTATGTCAACTATTCTGCAAAGACGCTCACATGATATATGATATATATTTTGTTCTTATAACTTAATATTCAAGCTTCCGAAATAATATTGCTAGGTTGCCATGAAATTTTCAATCAATTTGATTGATCATTTAGATAATTTAGCAGTTAGTTGGTGTATCTGTAAAGCTTATATAATTGAGGGAAATAATTACTCGAATCAAGTCTTGATGAATTTGTTTATTTTTTATGGACAAGGGACAAATATCTGCTGATTTGCAACCAATGAAGTGAAACTTAAGTCTAATGAAGACAACGTTATACATGTTCTTCTCTATTCCAACGCTTATCCCCAACCTGTATACTACATGAAACTATGGACAAAATTTTAGCTATCTACGAAATCCACTATGGCTGCATAAACGTCGAACATAATAAATTAATAATAAAAAAAAATGATCTACCAAATGTTCTTCAGAATTCTGAGTGTGGCCAATGAAAACAAAACATCCTTTAATGTACAAAAAATATTTTAAACCTACTTTTAATATTAACAACAGAATAGGAATTAAAGGTCTAGGAGTAACACAACTAAAAGGGCACATGGAATGTAGTGTTTTATTCTCCGAAACGGATCTAACTGTTTTAATATAAAAGACACGGAATATGCATATTTGACATACCAATCAAACTTTACTTCAAGAATTTCGTTATGAAACATTTGAATTAAGACTTTTTTAGAGTAGTTCATTATGAAATTGATTCTTCTTATCTTCTAAGTTTCAACTGTATTTCACCAAGGAGAGTAGTGTTTTTATTTAAGTAGGTCCCGTACTAATAATGCTGCTAACTCTCCACTATTCCAAATGTGTAACTCAGCCAACAGTCTAAAAAACGAAATGGACATTTATTTAAATTATACTGTTATCAATTTATTCCAAAACCACTTGAAAAAATAGCATTTAATACCTAAAGCCAGGAACTTAGTTTCATTTTTTTCTTTTTTAGTGATAACGTGCGGTTAATGTAGATAAGATTTGTATTTGCAGTCTGCTATTGGACTGCAAAGTCTGTCGATTCCAATGAAATAAATAAACATGTCTTCCATGGCAAATTACACTATATGTTGCTGTTGATGTCCTATGTGCTGCTGTTCTGTGCTCCGGTACTAAAATCAAAATAAATAAGAACTAAAAGTTCAGATTTTCTAGAAATTATATATTTTTACATGACAATTGTTTCGACAACACGGTGTTTTTATCACATTTGACATCAGCATTTTCATCAAGTAAAAGCCACCTCAGTTCAATTTCCAGTACTAAAATTTTAATTTATTTCTAGTATCTCTGTTATGCATATCAGAGTTCAGCTAGAATTTACTTTTAAGACCTTCTAAAGTAAACCATGTGCCGAAAAACCAAATTGCAAGTCCTTCAATAAAACATGTTCAACCATTGAAGTTCTATAATTTTATGTTATATGATCGGATTTTCTCGGGCTAAATATCAGCCACTATTCTCCTCCTTTTAAATGCGATATTGCCCCGACTGCCGTAGAGAAAGACAACGCTTGCATAATTAAAGTGAGAGAGTACTATGTTCGAAAAAGACTTAATTGAACACCAACACTCAGTGCCGTCTCACTAAATGTCAAAATATGGCCGGCAATACTGATTCCCAAATTTGACATTAAGAAATGTCTATTTGTTTTCTTACCAAATAGCGCGTGTTGCTGAGACAGATTCTTTAGTAGATTTAAATTGGAACTAATGGCATGTGGTAATATTAAACGTGGTAAATATTAAAGTAAAAAAATAAGAATTCGAAAATATAGAGCTTTATTATTTTGACGTGAACGCAGCCGTTGACCATAGGATTGAGAAAATTGGTTATAGAAGCTTCTAGAAATATACAAAATATCTAGATTGGGCGGCAGTTTGTTACTAGTCGTTTACCGGCTTTTAGAGGGCGGCTTATGACAGTTCAATAGACGGGAATCCCAGAAGAATTAAAGCGACTACTGCGCATGCCCCAAATAACGTCCGCCGCCAGCGTCAGATCTTTGAAATATCGCCTGGAAACAGTCTACCGGTCCTTAAGACATGTTTAACCGAATCGCGTAGTCGAAATATCACAAAGTCGTAGTCCGCACCACGAGCGAATCCGTCGCACTGCCCCCTCTCGTCACTACGTCGGGATCATTATCGCTCGCATCACAATCGAACTTCCACAAAATTTTATCGGGCAGTTCTTGCCGCGCATGACCCGAAACTACCACGTCGCACGGCAGCTGCGCGGACGCGGCCTGAAGCTGCGCCGTGGCTTCTTTCAAGTCCGTCGGGCACACGTCACCTGTGAAATATCCTAAGCCTATTTCGGACCTATACCTAGCACGTCCGATGGACGTGGAACGTCGTACGGTGCCGTAACGACCGCGGTGCACGTGGTTTAGGCCTAAGTCAGGGGGCCCGGGTTCCGACACACCCACCGATCGCTGGGTTCTGGAGTGCGATGGACCTCCACAACAGTCTCTAATCGAAGTGGAGGCGCAGGTGAAGGTGGTGTACCCTCCGGAAGTCAGCTGACGCTAAGTGTCTACGTCGTAGGGGACGGGAGATTTTTTCAAATCCATCATGGGTAGAATCACCCCCTCCTGCAATGAGAAAAAGAATATGTAAAGTGGTTGTTGAGTATGACGATATGTCGGTCACTACCAAACCAAAATCTGCAAGACACTAGAAGAAATACGCTGGTGACGAGAAAATTAAGGTCACTCTAATAGGCAGCAACTTCATTGCTTTCCAACCAATGCGAATCAAGATATTTGTTATCTGTCGGTTATTGTCAGCGTAGTTTCAACTTTTTATGAAATAGCGTTCTTATCTCCACAAAGCCTTTGATTGTTTGGTGTATTGTAGATCTGGGGTGTATTTAATTGAACATACTGATTTTAGATCCTTTTATTCTGGCTATAATAGAGAATTTGTCCATGTTTTTCTTATTTTACTAAAATGTGTGTTTACATGTGAAAACACGTTATACCAAATTTGAACCCTTAAATCGCACACTATTTCACAATAAATAATTAAAACACAATGCGCGGTAGCCAATGTGACGCCACACCGCGGGAAAATATAACACCCATTTCAAGCATTTCTCATTGATTTCTTGTATTTGTTCTGTAAATTACTAGTTATAAATACTGTATCGTTCCTATTTGTACGAGTTTAACCGTGAAAAATCCAAATAAAATGCTCATTCGGGTACCGGAATATAAAAAGCGGCGAATAAAACGGCTAAAAGGATGCAGAACAGATATATGGGATTATTCAAGAAGACCAAAAACATGTAATGTACGTTTAAATACCTAAATATAAATAAGTAGGGTTAGTAACCAGTAAAACCTACAATAAATAAATATAGGAAATATCCAGATACTAATTTTATTTAGCTGTAGGTAACTAGTAAAAGTATTAGTTAGGTAATCATTATTTATACTTAATAAATATTAAGTTATGTATCTTGTTTTTTGTACCAGATTGAGGACGATATGGATATGGATATGGTAAAACAATAATTAAACCTCATAGAGTTCCGCACATTTTTAATTGCCAGCCAGAACAAGAAAATTTTTAGTTTCTTCATGAGCAGCAACTGCTAAAGGGACAAATAGAAAACTTGTAACATCAGCTTAATGTTCTGCCATAAAATTATCAGAAACCAGTGTCGGTACTGAAGGCAATTTCGTTAAAAAAAAAATTAAATAAAAACAAAAAATAAAGTTAAAAGTTGGTCAACTTTAAAATTTAATTAAATTTTTGTATAAACCCAACCGTTAAATTTCAATTATCGAACTTTGTAAATTAAATTAGATGTTACTTAGATGTATTTATAAACTCACCTTAAAAATGGCGGTACATTACTATTCATACTTACTTTCTAGCTTTCACACCATGAACATCAGCTTGAGAAAAATCCTCGCCATTTTTAATGTATATATCAAGTTTGAGTAAATTTTCTGATTGTCCTTTTATAGAACCCACATCAACCATTCTCAGTATTTAATAGAACCACCAAAACTTTCTCGAAATGATTCAAATTTAAAACTTTTATTTATAAAGTAAATTTAATTGTACTTGAAATTTTTCTAGGGGAACTTCCTTTTAATAATAGCTTACAATTTTTTTTTTGATGATTTTATTTTTTGAGCAAGTTCCCTATTGTAGCATTGATACAAGATGATCGAGGAAAACGGGAAGCTGCAAGAATTGTTATTAGCAGTCTGTGTGCTGTGTACCAACGCTACCAGGAGACTGGCTTGATCACTAGAAGCCCCGAATCGGATCTTAAGAGGATCCAACGAACCAACGAAAAGGATGATCGATTTTTGGTGTCAGCAAATTTGTGAAATAGAACAGCTTCAAGAGGTTAGAAAGGTTTCGTGATGAGAAAGATAATGAGAAAGGAGCAAGATTCTATTTTCCGATGAATCCCGTTTTTGCCTCCCACTTTATAAAGAGTGGCTCTGTGACAGCTCACAGGTGCATTACAGATGATCATGTGCATGGACGAAGATGGCATGTTTGATTTTTGATTGTCAGTCAATATATGGATAAGGTGGGAATTAGGCGATTTGATTGGTCAGCACTCAGTCCATACATGAATCCCATCGGAAATATATGGGATGAGATATGACGACGTAGAGAGAGTTGCTAATGCAGAAATGGAACAACGTTGAGCAGAACGCAATCCGTACTTTTAATTAATGTTAATAAATAAAAATTAATTGGGTTTTGTTTATCATGGACTTTTCGTGTTTTAAGGCAAAATCATGAAAACCAACATAAGATTTTCTGATGAAATGTTCAATTCAGTTAATCATATAGAGTAGGATAGATAATTTACCAGCTACTAGATCGACGATTCAGTGTAATTTTTTGAGCGACCTAAATTTTTTGCTCGCCAGTATAGGTTTTAACTAAAAAATCATCACTCTTCACTTCAACAATGTAAACACAAAGGCATACATGAAAGTCAGCTATCCGGGAATTTTGCAGATACTGCTTAAGCCTGAACATTTGCAGCATACAATCAGATAGCTAAATTAGGTTAATATGCCGGGTTAGTAAAAAGTACGAGAACATTTAATTTTCTCCAAAATTGTCAAAGCTAGAGTGATTAAATTCAATACTGACGGGATTGACAGATTTTGACAGATTTTCTATTTTTACGTCAAACGTCATAATTTTTGTTGTTGCAATGAGTTGGCACAATTGTAAATGTTGGTAATATTGAAATTAATACGCTTATTGATTCATTGATGGTGACTGTCACTAAAAGATGTATACAAATTAGTGTCATCGGTATATATATGATACTTTAAAACGTTTAAATGATGGATGGAATTGACAAGTGTACTACCTTGAGGTGCGTCGGTTTTAATGTCGATACTATTGAAACTCGGTTCATTAATAAGCACTTGTTGAATTAGATCAGACCACAATGATTTCAGCAAGCGCTGAGCACTATCATTCAGCCTAATAAATGTTAATTTTGGGACTAAAATCTCATGATCAACCATATCAGCGACCACGATCTGTTACATCAGCAAGGGCACTCTTACAACTAAATCCTGGTCGAAATCTTAACTGATTTTCCGGTAATATTTTATTTTCATTGACAAAATTTCAAAAAATTGAAGTTCCATTGCTTTCTGTAGAATTTTTGATAATACTTACTGAACTTCCAGTTGTTTTCAGATGAGTGAGAAGTAAGGAAATAAGACTTGTCAAAGAAACTTCCACAGGCTTCTGTAATACTATTCATAAAACTTCTGGATTCCTCTTGGGTAGGTTGTTGTGATGAATAGAAACTTGCTGGTGTTTCGCCAGTCATCCTGATGGCTTCTTGAGAGCTTTACTGAAACTGGCGCGTATTCTACTCTGTATTTGTTTGATGAACGCGGAGCTAAAGGAGGAAGACTTATTCCCTTATTGATGAAAGTTAAAAATCTGAGTCGCGGGTAAGATTATTTGCTTATATATATATATATATATATATATATATATATATATATATATATATATATATATATATATATATATATATATATATATATATATATATATATATATATATATAGATTTGCGGATTTTTCGTTGGTAGAAGAATTGATTACATGCAAGAATTTTAGTTTTATTGAATAAATTTTTTTGTCCGGTTTGGTGAGTGTGTTCGGCAAGTACTGATTTCTTAAGAACTTTTGGTATGTGTTCATTAATGTTATGAAGATATGGAAGGAGGATATTGGAGGATTTGTATATCGAATGTGGAAATTATTACATTACAACTGCTCTCCTCTTATTTTGTCAAACCGAAACGGAAAGGCAGCCAATGAACTTTATTTCAATTATCCATTGTATATTATTTGGAGTGATGAAGCGAGAATTGACGGTTGTAACTGATCCACAGCAAATCCTCATGCTACAGTGTATCAAAATGGGCATGGTTGCTGGAATTAATGTATTGGTAGGAATTTTCCGAAGTAGATTTGTGGGATCTTATCCATCATAGATAGCAAGAAACCTATATGGATAAAAAGGGCTCGACACGGCATTTTTGAAAGACCGTATAGACAATATAAAACTTTTTTTTTTATTCATTTATCAGAAATCGGAGAACTGAAGTTTGAGTACGCCACTGCATTTACCTTAAAAAATGCCCTAATAATGTTCTTATCCGAATTTAAAATTTCCAGAAATAAAAAAGTTATGGTCAATTTTCAAAAGGGCCCAAAAATTGAAAAAAGTACTATATCTGATAGTGAAAATATCGCCATGCAGTGTCAACCATTAAATGTTTCTTTCTAACCTCTATCTACTTCAGAAATTTGTTTTTGCTATTAAGACACTTCAATTACAACCACCCTGTACAGGGTTTTTCTCCATCATCCATAAGAGATTGAAAAATGTGCAAGTGTCATGATTTTTATTTTATATTCTTATAGGTCTTTTTTATAATAAAAATCGAAAAATGTTCTTAAATATAGCAATTATGGGCAATTTTTAACCGTTTAACCGTTAAATGTTTCTCAAAAATCGATACTTTGACATGTAAGTCGATTTTGCTATATCTAGTTAAGAAATAGTTTTTTTTCTGTTAAGACACTCTAACTACGACCATTCTGTACAGCATTTCTTTATAATTAATTTCCTGCTACCCATAATCTACATTTATTATTGGTTAGACCATAAAAAGTTCCATACGTAATTTATAATATTTGAAGTATTTGATGGCATTAGAACGACACGGAAAACCTTCCGCAAAACACATAAAAATACATATATTATGCCTGGGATTATCCGCGTCACCAAACAACAGACGCGAAGCCTCTCGCGTGCTGAGAGGCGTATTTAAATCCACCCTTTTTAAAGAAACCCCGAAAGTGTCTCGAGGCGAGGCGACTAACTGCCACAAACTAGAAATATGTACCCCGCTTTTTGGTAGGTTCGGTCGGTTTCCGTTTCCCGCCATAAATCAAAAAAATACAATAAGCAGCGTAAAAAACGATCCAAACAGATGTTAAGTAAATTTTGCACAGCATCGTAAATATCGAGATTTTTTAAAAAGGACGGCGAATAATGTCAAACGAGC